GGATGGCACTAGATCAAACTTAGGAGCCTATCTGCCCCCTTCCTAAACACAACTCAGGTAACTTCAGCTGCCAACTTCTGTGTCCGCACCATTTAAATTGTGCATTGTATGGCAAAAAAAAAAGGATCCAAAACAGGCCTATAACTAAATATTTCAACCTATGTTCTCTCAATCATAACATCATAAACCGGTCTAGTGATGCAAATCCTTCTATACAACATATTTGTGCAGGAAAAGTATTGCATTGGTGACTTTCTAGAAGATACGAGGACAGCACACCAGGAAAAAAAACACAGATCCGAAACAAAAATATATGCTGGTATCATGAAATGGTACCTGCACTTTGCTGGGGGTTGATGCCAACTCCATCTTCGGAGAGGGAAAAAATGCAAAATCGTTTCAGAAAAGTGTATGACAAACAAGAACTGTTACTAATCGTCAAATGTTGTATGTAAAGAAATAGGAAAACTTAAAGAACATCACATGTCACAAGCTCGATGGTTATAACCAACAATCGTTGCATTAAGAAGTGCTATTTTACAACGCCACTGGTCACCATCAGGCAACAACAAAGACAGAAACTTGAAAGCTATCCACACCATTCTTTTATATATAGATAAATAACAGTGGAAAGAGTAGCACATTCTTTTGTGGTTGAACCTATGATTTCTTGATTTTTAATTTTACCAAATGATGTTCTCATTACCATTATTAGATGAACCCATGAAGATGGAAAATTCAAGACTTATCGTTCTATTTTTTCAATAATACTAAATTAAGAACTGAACTAAGACTGAAACAAAACTGAGAGAATTAAGATTGAAACAAAACTGAACTAAGACTGAAACAAAAATGAGAGAACTGAGACTGAAACAAAATTGAGATGAACTCTGAACTGGAACTGAAACTGAACCTAGAACCTGAACATGAAAATTCAAAAAGAAATGATTTGGAAAGAATGAAGTATGATAACCGTAATTGAACACTGAAATTGGAAAGATAACATAGAGGAAAATGAAATAGCTAATACATAAATTATAAACTGAACTAAAACTGAATCTGAACTGAACTGAAACCTGAACAAGACTGAAAAACTGAAAATACAGCACTCAAAATAAAAACGGAAATTGAGAACTGGAATAAAAATCGGAAATTAATGACTGAAATTACATACTGAACGAAACAGTGTTCAATCTGATGTCCATCAATTTTTAAAATCTTGTGACATACATCTCGGTACAGACAGCCTTATTGGATCGACACAAGCAGGAAATCAGAAAAAAACTAGGTTTCAAGGTGATCTGACAAGCGGATCATTCGGCATCGGCATCACAGCCGCCGGAGACAGCAGCGGCGTCGAGCTCCTGCTGCTGAAGGTGGTCGAGCGCCTTCTCGTGCGCCCAGGTCTAGATTGTGAGGTCGACCTTGGCGTTGAGGCCGACGCCGAGGATGACGACGGTGAGGAAGGACATGAAGTAGCTGTGTCGTCCACCGCCCGGCGCCTTCGCTGCCACTGCGCACGCGGGATGTGGCGCGTAGCAGCGCGCAGCATGCCTCCCGCCGCCGCCGTCGTCGAGATCTCCCGCATCGATGCCGCTGGTGAGGTGCGTCGCCTGCGAGATTGGGGAATGGAGAAGCTGTGCTGTGGTCTGTGGGAGCGGAAATGGGGTGCTGTCGCCGCGCGCGTGGGTCGCGTTAGAGTTTGCGATGTATTTGGTCTGGGATCGAAGTGGGCTTGGGGTGGGTCGAACCCATTTCTTGGGGTGTTTGGTTGCAGGGCCAGTGGGTTGGGTTCATCCCTGGGAGGGAATACTCGGTCTAGATGCGGGTCGGCTCTATTCCTCAGACACGAAGAAACCGGACGAACCCAGTTGTCGTTCGCGCAGACGTAGAGGAACGAAGAAGTGGCGGGCACGGGGCGCGTTACGGGGCAACGCCGGCCGGCAGGCCCACGGTGCGGAGGAGATGCGCAGGTGGCCGCGCGGGGCGCGTGACGGAGCAGGACCGTCCGGCGGCGTCACGGCGCGGAGGAGATGCGCCTGTGGCTGCGCGGGCGTGGGGGAGAAGAGCCGGCCGGCCGCGCACGGCGGAGGAGATGCGCCAGCAGCCGCACGTGCGTGGGGGAGCAGGGCCGGCTAGCGGGCGCATGGCGCGGAGCAAGATGCGCCTGCGACCGCGCGGACGTCGGGGAGCAGGACCGGCCGGCGGGCGCACGGCGGGGATGAAGATGCGCCACCAGCCGCGCAGGCGTGGGGGGGCAGGGCCGGTCGGCTAGCCGGCAGGCGCCGCGGAGGAGTTGCCCCAGCGGCGGCGCGAGCGTGGGGCAGCAGGGCCGACGGAGGAGGGGAACCAGCGTGGGGACGAGCAGAGTATGACCCAAGGAAGAAGAAGGGACGAGAAGATAACGCGCGGGACCCACATGTCAGGAATATGAACCTACGCCCCATTTATCTCAACCAAACCGAAAACGTGGATAATCCCGTCTATGTTCAACTCAATCCATAAAACTGGGTTGGGTCCAACCCATCCCCAATGGTTCCCAAAACCAAACATATGTTATGTTCTCGTTCCTAAATCCACTTGCATGACAACACATGTAGCTTCCAACATTCGTGACGGCACACATGTAACACGTTTCAATGAGAGGCTACATTCAGGGGCCGTTTGAATTCCTTCATTTTAGAGGAATTGAAATCTATATAATGGATTAATCTATTTGGCTTGGAATTTGACAATCCATAACTTTAACAGGCTCACAAATAAACCTATCTCAAATTCATAGGGTGGGAGATGAAATAGATTCTATAGATCACTATGATATAATTCTATTCTTCAACTTATAGCATACTCTTCAACTCACTTCCATACAATAAAAATACAACATATAAGTATGTTCCTTATATGCCTAACAATAAATATACAAATATATTCCATATACAACTATATTAGCTTAATTAATCTTCAGTGTATTTCAGGCTACATATCGATAGTCGGATAAATTTGTCACAACTAAAATCGCTACAATATTTCCACAAGAAAACAAAAAGGAATGGATCTTTTAGTATATAACTACAACTATATAATTATAGTGCCAAATAGAAAGTTAAACAGATACATATTCAAGTGGCATATATAAGGAAAGAAATGAATTTTAATTCAAGAGAAAATATGTAAGCGAACACAAGAACCAACGTAGCTACCTAATATATATTGATTTTGCGTTCTCTACTAATCTGATCAGTTATCACTCAATATAGTTATTACAAGATACCACTATAATGTATAGAACATTTAAGTTGTGCCATTTTGCCATTTATCAAGACAGTTGTGCCCTTTATCAAGATAGGGCTTGCTAATGTTGTGCTGTGAACCAATTGAGTCATGTTAGTACGTTTTTAAGTTTCACACAAGAAATAACTTAGCTACCTATAATTAAGTTCTGTACCAGTTGCTAGCCCGTTCCTCGATATAAATAGTTCAACCACTAGCTATTCTCTCCTATCAGGTGGAGTATTATAGCTATATGAACTAATGAAACAAGATGTCAGAGATGTGAAACTGTCTCTGACGAGATGAAACATTTCTTGAACTAAAGCTTGAGATTGAACAGAATAGCTCAGTCACCAATTGTCTTGAGAACTTCAACTCAACAGACTTTGGACAGAGATAAGTTCCTCAATGCAATTTGGGTAGTACTAATGCGTTGGAGGTGATGACAAGAGTGCAAAAGTTTAGGGTATTTCAAATTAAATTGGGTACTAGCGTTGTTGCAGGGGAAAAGTAACAGGGGGCACATTCCCATAAGGAAAAAAATGGCAGACTTCCTCATGCGGGCAGGGGTGGATATGGGCCTAGGGCCACGGTCCTCGGCGTGGCCCAAAATACCTTTTATACTACATATAAATTTCTGACTCATTTCAAAGTGGCTTTAAACATTGGTCCAAGTTATTACTCCTAACCACGCTAGGCCTATAGAGGAGAGACCAGGAGCGCCTCCTCGACACCCGACCAGACTCTGTCAGTCTGCTGTGTTAGCTTAGCCACATTTCCGACTTGGCAACTCCCATCCCCATTCAGTTGTTCCTCTCCTTGTCTAGTTGTCTCTGCTAGCTATTACCGCAAGATATTTGGTTATTGGGAAATTCCGCTTGATGCAAAGATCAATCACAGTAGAGACACGAGATTTATACCGGTCCGGACCTCCGGGAAGCAAGTAAAAGTGGTACGTCCAGTTGTTACTCTTGTATTGCTTTATTCGGCGAGATTGTTGTTACAATGTAGCTATTTATATCCGGGATCAACTTGCCCCCAAGCTAAGTAGTCGTGCCTAGTTGGAGTCTCGCGTAATCTGGAGATATCCTTCCTAGAATAGGGTCGTCGCACCTGGTCGGGTATCTTCTGATCGGGAGTCGGTGTTCAGCAAATCCTGTAGACGGGATACCCGGAGGTATGGCATCAACAAGTTGTTTTACTTTTTATTTTGTAAACTTACACAATGGAGGGGACAAAGACATTAATAATCCTTTTTTTCCTTGGTCCTACGCCTATTATACATCTAAGCCAACCTTTTGTTTCTGTATAAGTGCAAATGTGTAATGAGAAGTTGTAGAAGAATCATAATTAGGAGGAAGTAGGAATGACAGCCAACAATGGAAATGTTTGTGACAACTCGAATCAGTTTAATTTGTTGCACACAATTATATGTGGAACAGAGATATGTCTACTAAATCATGTACTTTGTTGTTGATCTTTGTGAACTATCGATATGTACAAAGAGATCTTTTACAATGGTTGAAAAAGTACCATGGAACCTCTAGATACTTTTTTTTTCTATTTTCTATGTAATTAATTGAGAAATATGTTATAGAGTGTATTTTAGTAATTAAGCTCGAGCATCCTGTGTTTGGGCTCCGCCGCCGCGTACGAGTGGGCTTTGTGTGTCAGTGCGGCTTCAGCTCTTGGTGGAGTGGCACGCCGGGCGTGGCGTCCAGGACCTGCACCTAGGGAAGCGCTTCCGACAGCAACGCCTGGAAGGACTGTGTCGTCCCCTGTTCGGTGAGAACGGCGGTCAGGAGCCCGCCGGCGTCCATGTCGGCGTTCCTCATCGGCACCACATACCTCGCTCGCAGCAGCCGGGCCTGGTCGACGGCGTCCTCCTGCCCGGTGACGAGCGTGTAGTAGTTGCCGTTGCCGGGGAGGGGGAGGATCTGCTTCACCACCGGCGTGATCACCACGTCCGCCCACAGACCTGTCGTGCATGCAGGCAGTGTGGCTCGTAGACTCGTAGTACAGGAGGCCGTTGTTCCTGACTTCCTGTCGTTGTTGTCGTCATCGCCTGCGGCCACGAGGAGGACGTAGCCGTTCTCGGGGCGCTGCCACGGCGGGCCCAGCAAGGTGCCTACGGTAAGGTCCAATCCTGCAGCAGGTCGCTTGCCGCCGAGGGTAACGACCGATTTACCTTTATTCGAAAATAAAATATAAAATGAAAAATAGATAGTGCCCCACATATTTTTGGTACTGGTCCTATCTAATTTGGTACTATCCCCACTTATTTAGTACATCTAGGTACTTTCAGTTAGGTACCTCCTATTCTTTCACCGTTCGATATTGTCTAATGGATGATCTATGTTTTTTTTCGACCATCGTAAAATTTCTCATGTAGACAAGGTTTAATACTTTTAGGTGCTTAACTAGTGGCCTTACGCGTTGTTCCCCAAAAATAACTAGTGGCCCAACGCGTCGAAATTCGCCAGCTGCATGCTGGTACACCACCTCACGCGAAAATACTACGACACTGAACAAAGGGACATAAGAGGATAGAGGTGCCGTCGTGGATGAGCCGTCGAGTAGGTGCGTTCCTTGCCGGTGATCGGTCCGCTCATGTTGCCGCATGCGGACATGAAAAAATAAAGAATTTATTTAGGATTGTTCCATTTTACCAAAATCAGCTCTGCTCCATGGACCTTTACCATGGAGCAGGTTTCTGAAGTACGCTTTTATGTACTCCACAAAAGACCTGAAGTTGGTCCCATAACTTCACCTTTTTTGAAGCACAAAGCTGAAAAAGTTAGAGCCGAATCTCAAAGTCCAAAGAAATTAAAGGGGATTGGATGACTTGGATGAGTTCGGCTTGTCCTATTTCGGCCTGGTTCGTTTCTTCCCCAAACCAAAGGGTCAGAGGGGATTGAGGGAATTTTGACTCGTAGGTGATTAAACTCCCTTAGGCTACGTTCGGTTACCTTGGATTTGGCCCAGGAACAATTCCAGCTTATGAAAACTATACAAATTGTGAAGCAATTCCAGCTGGAATCATTCCAGGCATTCAATCCACGGCAAACGAACGAGCCCTTAGTTTGATGTAAAACTAATGAGGCCGAAGTCACATCCCGCCCTTTTTTTTCAAATCAAGTAAAACATTTTTTCAGCAAGATGGTCGTGATGCGCCAAACTTTTCTCAGTTCAATTTCCTGCGTTCTTTTAACTTTTCCCTTTCGCTCACGGCGTGACGTGTGATGGAGACATATTGTAGCGACCTCAGGCGTTCTCGTATAGAAGCCGGCGGTCCGAGAAAGGAACGTGTGCACAGTGTCTCCTACCGGCTACGCTGTACAGTACAGTGTCTAGTATGTGACCGACTCTTTCTTCCCGGGACACGGTAAACACACGGCATCAAACGCATACATACGTTACCGTGCCCTTATATAAAATATATCTACGAATGTCCTGTCCAGCTTACAAATATCAATCATCGTGTTGTATTTCTTAAAAATTATAATGCCCACCCATCTTTTATATTGAAATATCATGTTTTCTGGTACAAAGTATTGCTATACTAGCCTAGAGAGGGCTGGCCAGGCAGCTCGGTTAGCAACAGGCACATGAGAATGTATGCCTAGGATCTTTGCCAGGTCCAGACACCTCTTCCAGTACGCAAATCAAACGCTTCACTATCCTCTCCGGTCCTAGTGCCAGAGTGCTTACACATAATTGCCCCTAAATTAAACCGGAAAGCGTACGTACCCAGAAGAGTAACAAATTCAAAAGAAATTTTTGTTTTTTTTATTGATGAAACTTGTACAATACAGATACAACGTTTACTAGTATAACTACCCCTCAGTTAAACCGCTACTAGCCAGAACTAAATACAACTGAAAGATCGTAACATCCGTACATGTGCCATCATCGATCGTCGCTGGGACTGAGACATGCACATGCACTGACACGCCGTTGACAATTTCGGAGAGCACCAAGAGTCAACGACGTTAACATGCAGAGCATCAAGCACAGAAACTGAGCGTCTCAGCCGGTGCAATAACCCTTCTTAGCCTTCAAAGTTTTAATAAATATATATAGACCGCAAAATAAAATAATCTTAGATAGATAGATAGTTATGTCTTCAAACAGAATAATAAGACAACTTATTTAGTTATTTATTTTGCAGGGAGCGTAGTCTAGGGCAAATGGCGTTGGGTTGGACAACCTTAGATTGGTTTCCATATATATAAAGAAGAAAAACCTTAAATTGGTTTAAGATTTTCACTATTTGAGATGGCGATTCGATGTCATGTGGGGGCGCTTCCAATTCCCACCATTCACCAACAATCTTTTTTGAAAAAAAAAACATTCCACCAATAATCAACGACGCCGAAAAGTCCAACCCCCAGCTTTGCATACCAGTCCTTAACATTTCAAAATACTATGTGCCAGAGAAGTTACTTGCGAAACTTTTTTTTTGGTGAGATCAGCTTCAGGTGTGGTTATATCCAGGATTATGAATATGGGTGATCCAACTTAAGATAGCTTCGAAGGTATAATATACAATGTGCATTGTCAATACACTACTAGAATCAGCAAGTTTACCTAGGATTTATAATCCTAGGGAAAGGGTAAAAAACAGTAGGGAAACTATTTCCCTAGGGTATTTGGTAGGGAAAGCCCTCTAGGGAGGGGTATCGACGGGAAAGACCATCTTTCCCTACGGTTTTGTGGAAAACGGTAGGGAAAGGTTCTTTCTCCAGTGGGTTGTATCCCTAGGGAAACTTGTTGAGATGGTCTGGTGTATCCTAGGTGGAAATATGATTTTCCTACGAATTTAATTTCTAGGGAAAGAATGTGACATGACAATAAACTTCCCCTAGGAATCTGAACTGTAGGGAAAGAATATATCATAAAGCATAGTATTCAAATTCAAATCTTTTACACATGATTATATTTGAATTCAAATATCATTCAGTTACAAAAAAAATTAATTCAAATTCACACATGAACACAGTACTTAAGTACTCATTTCATCCAATCCATAACCGTATCCAGGAATCCATACATTTAGAGTTAATTACCATAATACAACCTGATAGACTACTAATACAAATGTCTAGTTGGCATCGCTACTTAGCTTGCAGGATCTGCTGCTCCATTTGGTGCTCACCGGCTCATTACTTCAAACAAATGTGCAACAAGCAATCTAAAGAACTCCAACTCATGGTTTGACAACAATCAAAAGAACTCAAAGTGATCTCTCTCAGGAGGAGAGTACGTGCCTCCACCACTTGTAGTTCCATTCACTCTAGGACTAGTTTCATTCACTCCACCACTTGTAGTTCCATTAGCTCGACCACTAGTTTCATTCACTCCCCCACTTGTAGTTTCTAGATGGCCACGAAATACTCCACAAGCAATCCTACTTATTGTTTCATCCGGAGTTTCCACTCCAACACACGAGCCAACGGTACCGGCATATGAGATTAAGCAAGTCGAAAGTTAGAAAAAAGGTCAAATTATTTGTACTACTAATTCATGACTTGCAGCTTCATTAGTTATTGATTGCACAACAAATCATTTACGCAGATCATGCTATGTTAACAAATTTGATATATAACAGATAGTAAGAAGACCATATGATTTCTACTTGCTATGTTACACAAGTTTAACATGGACTGACTATTTTTAGACCAACACACAGAAAGCATAGCTCATAAAATTTTGTGAGTCCAGTTAATTCATCTCTATTTGTTGCTATCCAGTGCTAGTTTGCAACTTATTTAGAATCAGCACATGTACCGGTTGCAAACATCATCAACATATTGAGGAAAAGTGACGTCTGATCATCAAACTTACATTGTCATGAGAGGGATTTGGAGTTGAGTAAACAACATATATTGGAGGCTGAGGTGGGGGAGGCATGGGAGGAGGAACCTCTGTAGCCGGCATACCAGTGTGGAAAGCAACACTCTGCAGTTTAATAGTATATGTTACAAGCAATTAGAAAGTAGCTAAATTGACACTCAAAAGAATACACAAGGATGTATGCCACATCTCACCTCCATAAACCTTTGTATACTTTCATTGTGAGCATGTACCATTCTCCCCCAGTCCAACATATTTTGGGTGTATTCCTTAGCCATACGACTATCACTAGCTTCTCTCCACATACAGTCCTCCTCTTCTTGACGTTGACACCTAGCAGCCGTGGCTGAGGCATGACTTCTTTTCAAGTCAGAAAGGGCTTCGTTGTCATTGATGGCCCCATTAAATAAGGCCCACTTCCCATGTGGCCGACCAAAACCGCATTGATAGAGAGCTCTAGCATCAACCGGAGAGTGCAACCAGTCAAAATCTGGTCCATTTAACTCAATGGCCTTGACTTTGTATTTCTCCTATGTGAGCATTTGCAAAATTAGTAACATCAAGTTATGCAAAATAAGTAACATTAAAGTTCTGCAAAATAAGAAATAACCATTTAGTAATTACCAAACATGTAGTGGCTTCTTCTGTATTCAGTGAAGTAATATCTTCAGGATTTGAGCCTCTATGAGTATGGACCCATGCCTCAATATCATTTACTTCTCTTCCTAGTTTCTTAGACTACATTAAATAGTAAGCCAAATTAATTGTGCACTTCCAACAAAAGAATATCTAATAGAAATCAGCAATTGAACACTGACCAACTTCTGTCGTATTGTTGCAATAGAGTTGGATCCTCCTTTGTGGGGTTTAAATTTGCGGCTACAACGATTTACACGATTTGTCTCAGACTTTTTCTTGAATTCAGGACTGCTCTATTCTGAGGCCAATGCTACCCAACAATCTCTTTGAAACCAAGAAGGTTGATGTGCAATGTACTCGGGCTGGAATGACAATTGTTGTCATTCACAGGAGTGGATGGGAAACACAAATGCTTTCCTAGATCGTGCTTTCAATGATGTCCATGATGTATTACTTAAGAATTACAGCTACAATAGATCATTTTCGGAAGGTGGAGAGCAGAAAAATCTGTGACAAGATTGCTAGGCAGTTGTGCAAGCAAAGCCTTAGCAAACCCCAAGATAACAGCACATGTACAGAAGAGATGAGGCAAGATAAATTTCACTCTCACCTTCAAGCTTTGCTTGCACAACAGCACAAATGCAGATCCCTGCCTTTTTTATCCCCTCCAATCTTCCTTGCAAAAATCAAGATCTTCTCTCCACGCTAGAATCTGAAATGTGCATGTCAAAAATGCAAATTTATAACAGTGTGCTACTGCAAACACCATAATGTACCAAAGAGATGAGAAGATAAATTTGACCCATACGAGTAGGCCACAAATCTTGGGTACTCACAAATTTGACCTGGATCTATAATATCAGTACCCGATGATACCTAACTCAGGTCAGGAATCCTACTCCAGAACCCGTATGAGCAGGCCACAATTAACACTCACCAGATCGAGACGTCAGAGTCAAGAAGAAGTGGCGATGGGGCTGCGTCTGCACGGTGGAGCCTTCGTCGTCCTCGTCTCGGAGTCGGAGTGGAGGCGTGCTGAGTCTCTGTGGGTCTGGCCACACGTGCTAGAAGGAGACACGTGCGGCGCGGAGGATGGAGAGAGCTGCGCGGCGTGCGGCCCGCGCCACGAACGGAGCGAGCTGCGGCGGCGCGCACGGAGCGAGCTGCGGCGGCGCGCACGGAGCGAGCTGTGGCGGCGCACACGGAGGGAGCTACGGCGGCGCGCATAGAGAGAGGCGTGACGGCGTGCGACACGCTCGGGTGGGGCGTGGCTGTGGCACGCGGCGTGCGGCGCTCTCAGGTGGTGCGCGGCGTGCGGCCGGAGATGCCAGCGGCGCGAAGGGAGATGGGAGGATTTCTCTCTCTTTCCTAGGGAAACAAGACACGCGGGCATCGACGTGGTTCAGCCTGGGGTCTGTTCCTTGGACTCATCCCGACGAAACCATAAGCTCCCTAGGAAAGAAAAGTGTCCCTACGATTTTGCTAATTAACTCTATGGAAACATATCTTTTCCTAGGATACTTAAAAAATGCTAGGGAAAGAAAATACTCTAGGGAAACTTGTTGATTCTAGTAGTGATACAGAATATGTGAATGGGATTTACCAAAAGCAGACAAGCTACGATAGGTTAAAAAAAGTTGAAAGCATATTAACAATAAAAAAATCGAAAATTTGGCTTAGAGAAGCTTACCCATGGCAGGGAGCCGAGAGATTTTTGGACTATAGACCAATGCCTATGCAATCACGTACTAAATCTCTCCTAAAAATATGTAATTCTAGTTCTGCTCTTAGTTAATTTATCAAAAGTTTTAGAGAAGATAAAATAGCGTCGATATTTATGACACCAAATAGATATACTAATATTCTATGATATGACAAGTCCAATAATAGTTATTTGATATCATAAATATTAATATTTTTTTATATATGTTTGCTTAAATTTAAAATGATTTGACTTGGTACAATTGTACGATATTTAGGAACTAGATTTCTGTTGTTTAGCACCATTTGAAGGCTGAGTAACCTTTTTAGGAGTGAACGGACCTCTAGCCTAGTGGTTGGAGCTCCTCGGTAGCACCCTAGACTGTTCAAATCCTGAATTTTTGGCTAGGTTAAAAAACACACACAAAAATATGTAGGGTGCTCTCCTGTTAACAGCTTTTTTTTAAAGTGACTTTCTAGTGATCATGGCAAGTCCCAAAATCGAAACTGTTTCACATTACCAAACGGGGCCCCAACTTTCCATAGACACCAAAGCAATGGTAAAATCAAACACTCTTTATTGGAAGAAGAAGAAAAAGGAAAAAAGAGCATATATGGCGGAAAATTACATAAAAAACAAGGACCTAACCATAAATGATCCTGCCATTAAACGGTGACTAATTAATCACTAGATTATTACAGTCCTAGAAATGACGGAGTCCTACGCGGAAACGACCGACCTTCCGTTTCCGCACCACATGTCCACGTCCACCCTCTTCCACACGGCGGCCACGCCACGCCGCCTCCGTCCTCAGTTTCTCACTCCGCGCTCCGGACCGTTGACGCCGGCAACATCGAGCACCGGAGACTTTGACCTGTGCCCGCCGGTCCTCTTCCTCCCATCCCCTCCCGCCATCTAAACATGTCGGCGTCGATAGGCTCCATAAACCCACCAACCTCACCACCACCCCGGCCCACCTTTCTTGCCGCCCCTGCACGCCTCCCCGTGCAGCCGGCCAGCCGTGCTCCACGTCATGGCTCAGGCTAACTCCAACCACCGCTGCACGGGCCTCCTCATGGCCGTCGCCATCGTCACAGCGTTCCTTGTCGCCGCCGGGGACGCGTCCAGCGTCGGGTTCGACCTCCACCACCGCTTCTCCCCGGTGGTCCGGCAGTGGGCGGAGACCCGGGGCCACCCCTTCGCTGCGCAGGAGTGGCCAGCCCGAGGCTCGCCGGAGTACTACTCCGCACTGTCCCGCCAAGATCGCGCCCACCTCGCCCGCCGCGCCCTCGCAGGCGGCGCCGACGGGCTGCTCACCTTCGCCGCCGGCAACGACACCGTACAATACATCGGATCGTGCGTACCTCTCGTGGATTTTTTCCCCCAAAGCAAAACGAAACAAAAGCTTGAACCGATCCGTTTTGCAATTGCAGGCTGTACTACGCGGTGGTGGAGCTGGGCACGCCGAACGCGACGTTCCTGGTGGCGCTGGACACCGGCAGCAACCTCTTCTGGGTGCCGTGCGACTGCAAGCAGTGCGCGTCCATCGCCAACGTCACCGGGCAGGCCGCGACGCGGCTCCGCCCCTACAACCCGCGGGGGTCGTCGACGAGCAAGCAGGTGACGTGCGACAACGCGCTGTGCGACCGTCCCAACGCCTGCTCCGCCGCGACCAACGGCAGCTGCCCGTACGAGGTCCAGTATGTGTCCGCCAACACCTCCACCTCCGGGGTGCTCCACCTCACCCGGGAGCGTCCGGGCGCCGCCACCGCTGCCGGGGAGGCCCTGCAGGCGCCCGTCGTGTTCGGGTGCGGGCAGGTGCAGACGGGCTATTTCCTGGACGGCGGCGCCTTCGACGGCCTGATGGGGCTCGGCAGGGACAAGGTGTCCGTGCCCAGCGTGCTCGCCGCCAGCGGCCTCGTCGCGTCCGACAGCTTCTCCATGTGCTTCGGCGACGACGGCGTCGGCCGCATCAACTTCGGCGACGCCGGCAGCCGTGGCCAGGGCGAGACGCCCTTCACCGGCCGGAGCACAGTGTACAACATGAGCTTCACGTCCATCAACGTCGAGACCAGGTCGGTGGCGGCGGAGTTCGCCGCCGTCATAGACTCCGGCACATCCTACACGTACCTCAGCGACCCGGAGTACACGGAGCTCGCCACCAACGTGAGTCCCTTCCCTTTCCCTCTGTGCACGCTCATCGAATGAATGTGATCGATTTCTTTTCTCAAGTTTCTCATGTGTCTGCTTCGAGTTCGTGCGTGCATGCAGTTCAACTCGCTGGTCCGCGAGAGGAGAGCCAATTTCAGCAGCGGCTCTGCAGACCCTTTTCCCTTTGAGTGCTGCTACAGAGTCAGGTAATAAACAACAGGATCTCCAATTTCTGCTGTTCCACTTTCTAGAAACAAAGTCTCTATTAGTGATTGTTTTGCATCTTCTTCTCAATCTCATCTGCCATGGTTGTGATCGAGCTGCAGCCCTAACCAGACAGAGGTGCTGATCCCGGACGTGAGCCTGACGGCCAAGGGCGGAGCCCTGTTCCCGGTCACCCAGCCGATCATCATCTTCTTCAACAGGGCCACCCGCCGTGCCGTCGGTTACTGCCTGGCGATCGTGAAGAATGACCTCGGCATCAACCTCAACATCATCGGCCGTAAGCCAAGCCCCCCCGCGTTCGCCATCGTTTCTTCTTGCTTTGCTTGGGTGGACTTGACTGACAGTGAACTTCATGCGCGTGCAGAGAACTTCATGACCGGGCTCAAAGTCGTCTTCGACCGGGAGAGGTCCGTCCTGGGCTGGGAGAAGTTCGACTGTAAGATCGCGCACCTCTGACCTCTCTCTCATGTCACGACGAATTCTTGCACCAACTGACACCAAGCTCCTCTCGTGCCGCTTGCAGGCTACAAGAACGCGAGGGCGGCGGACGCGCCGGACGGGAGCCCGAGCCCGGCCCCGGCGGCGGGGCCGACCAAGATCACGCCACGGCAGAACGACGGCAGCGGCAACGGGTACCCCGGTGCCGCGCCGCTGCCGAGGTCGGTCGGCTCGCGCAACGCCGCCGCCGGCGCTGGCGCGCTGGGAGTGGCAGGCCTCCACCTGCTGCTGCTGCTGGCCGCAGCGCTTGTCTGACACCACCGGTGACTGAATTGTTATTGTGTACAGTACAGACATAGATACTGCTCCGTTTCGGTTCAGAGTTCAGATGCATAGAAGATCATTCGTTGTAGGTTTATGGGGTAGGATAAAATTTTGCTGATCGATGTGGATGAGAATATGAGATGATATTACTCGGTGGTGGGTGACTGATGAAAGTCATTTATGAATTCTGAATTTCTGATACGTATTATGAACATGCCAATAAAAGTACAGTTTGTATCTTCATTTCTGATACGTATTATGAACATGCCAATAAAAGTACAGTTTGTATCTTCTTGCGATGTTTTAAGTTCCAACAATGCCAAGACAAAAATGTGCCCGTTGTGATCTAAAGTCACTTTAGATGTTTAACATGCTAGTACCATTTGTGGTTTTCTGCAAAATGAGCGAGTGTAGGCCAGGATAGAGGAGAAAGAAGGTTGAAGCTAACAATTTGCATTTCTTTGCTCGGTTTTGTTTTTCTTCTGAACCCAAAACTAAACCTGAGTTTTATCTCTGAAATTAAATTTCTTTTTGATTGAAAGAATATGAGTTTTTTTTTCTTGAAAATGCAACAGACAACTCTACTTGATCTTGTTGCCAACAATGTCATAAAAAGAAACAGTCATGAGACCAAACATTGTCAGTCATGCCCTGTTCGTTTCATCAGCTCAACACTGAGGCATGTTCCAAGGAGGCCGCATCATCTTGGCATCAGGAGCCTTGCCATCTTTCACGATGAACACGGTGTCCATTCCCCACACCATGTGGCGATCAAAGTGGCAATGCACGAACCACACCCCTGAATTGAACAAGCACAAGTCACTCACACAATAATCACTCTGTAAAAATCCATGGCCGGCGGCCAGGTCGCTCACTCACCGGGGTTGTTCACGCGGAACCGTATGGCGGCCCAGCCAGCTTTGGGCACGGCGACCGTGTTATGCAGCGGCGGGTCGGCGAGGTTGTATCCGGCGGGGTCCCTCCGCTCGTCGAAGTTGCCGAGCCCGCGCCCCACGACGTAGAAGCTGAACCCGTGCAGGTGCATGGGGTGACTCACCATGCCGAGCACGGCCGTGTCCTGGAACACCACCTCGACGGCGGCGCCGTACTCCAGCACCTTGACCCTGGTGCCCCGCTCCGTGGCCGCGCCAACGAGCCCGGACGCCCGGACGCCGGGGTCAGTGAAGTTGAACGCGGACGGCGGGTGGTCGGGGAAGTCGGCCTCGTACACGCCGCGCGCGGAGCGAAAGCGGCGGTAGTAATAGGCGCGGAGGACGTCGGCGGCGGACGGGTTCACGAAGCTGGCGTTGTTCAGACTGGCCGCGAGGCGGGCGCCGCCGGGGCCGCTGCAGGTCGTGTTCGCCGCGCAGGGGAGCAGGTTCACGGCCATCGTCACCACCAGGCGCTCGTCCACGCGCGCCGGCACGTCCACCGGGTGCTCCTCGCTCGCCAGGGACCGGAGCCGCGTCGTGTACGCCGCCGCCGCCCCGATGTCGTTCACGGCCGGCAGGGTGGCAACGGGGAAGACGGGCGGTCGTCGTCTTGGCGTGCCCCGGCGCCGCAGTGTCCGTGTGTACTCCAGGACGGCCGTGGCGGTGCTGTTGTTGAAAGGGACGGTGGTGTCGGACGCGAACGTCCTCGCCGCCATGTAGTACCGGCACCGGCCTCCGGCGCCGCGGTCGTCGGAGTCCAGGAGCGCGTCCACGGTCTGCCCCGGCGCCACCATCACGTGGTCGGTGGCGAACGGCTTCGTGTAGCGCGCGTCCGTGGCCACCACCGTCAGGCGGTGTCCCGCGACGGCGAAGAACATATGGTTGGTGAGCCCCGCGTTGATCAGCCGGAGCAGGTACGTCTTGCCGCGCTCCACGGCGACGACGGTGGTGCCGCGCTCGGAGCACGGGAACAGGTCGCCCGGCTCGCCGTTGATGGTGTTGGCGTCCGACGGCTTGACGTCGCGCCCGGTTCGCTTGGTCTCCTCGAGCAGGTCGTTCACGTCGTCGTCCCGCCACCACTCGCCTGCATGTGAACTCGCGAGTGCATCGGCCGGCGGCATTCCGTGCACCGTGTACAGAGGAACCGAACGAACGAGATCAATCGTGACCCGGTCGGTCTCCGACGAGGTAAGTACGTACCAAGGATGATCGGCGGCAACTCCTCGACGCGCGGCTTCTTCTGGAACTGGAAGGGGAAGGTGGTGCCGCGGCTGGGGCGGATGACGATGGCGCCTTGCACGGTGGCGCGGTCGAAGCCGGTGTGCGCGTGCCACCACAGCGTGCCCTCCTCCTGGGAGAGGATGAACCGGTAGGCGAAGGAGGCGCCGGGCTGGATGGGGCACTGCGTGATGTACTCCGGCCCGTCGGACCACGGGTTCCGCGGCTGGTCCACGCCGTGCCTGCACGCGCATAACAGCATCAGCATCAGCGCTTGCATGAACGCCGACGACGACATGAACGATTGGCTGGCTGATTATCTGTACGTACCAGTGGATGGTGATGTTCCTGTCGCCATGGTTGTGGACGTTCACGACGACGACGTCGCCCTTGCGGGCGCGGATGGTCGGGCCGGGGAACTGGCCGTTCACGGTGAGGATGCTCTTCTGCCGGCACAGCCTGGTGACGCTAACCCTCTTTACCTGCCAACCAAAACAGAGTAACCACGCGATCATGCTAGCAAGAGGCAGCTGGTAGTACATCTCTCTAGAACAAGAAACCATTTGTTTCCAGGTATGATTTGCATTTCCTTCTTCATGATGAAATTCAGAGAAAGATAGGAAGAAGAGAATTACAACGACACCAAAGTCATGAACAACAACAACACACCCTTGTTTTGGAGAACAAAAGAGGAGACATTTTTTGAACATCAACATGGTCACAAAATACAAGTTTGACTGCTAATTCAAAGCTACAACTAAGATCACTACCCACCAACAAACCATGAAGAAGGATATCTTGTAACAATATCTACTACTACTACTATTTTTTCAAAGAAAACAAAAAGAAAACCATGAAACTTGACACATCATATGGAGGACTGAAAGGTCAATGAAATTTGACACCAACAGAAATATATACAGGAACGTCGTAGATTGGATGAAATACTAGTGCTTACGAGGAAATGGTAGTGATGAACCGTGGAGGCCTGCGCGGCAGGGCAAACAGCTGCAACTCCAAAGACCAAGAACACAGCCAATTGCAGGAGCCGGAGCAGCACTGCTGCTGCAGGTGTGTCAGCAACAGCACCCATGGCCAGGGGTCACCGGCTTTAGCTTTGGTGATCGACGGGAAAGAACCGGGAGTATTTCCAACAGTGATTTTCCTTTTATTAATGTATGAAATTAAGTATGAAACAATGAATCTGATCGAGCAGATTTGGGAAGAATTTAATTGGGCATTTTTTTTGCTATACTTGGAAGAAAGTTTAAAGAAAATTTGACAGGGGTATATTAATTAATTAGAGAAATCACCTAGTTTAGACTTTGTTGCATGCGTGTATCAAATTAATTAGTGCGCATATATGCATCCGAAAAATCCAGCGATTAATGATTCCCCCTTTTTTTAATAGAGAAATAGAGAATACCTCTGCTTTTTTAGAAAGCAAGTGAGAACAGAGTTGCAGCATGGATTTAGACAAGAATTAATGCTTGTGATAAGTCTAGAAAAAATTATGATAGGTTCCCAAGAAAAAAAATTATCCTCCATTTCCTACTGCAGTAACATAATAATGATAGGTTCCCAAGGATGGTGAGGAAAATGGTGCCTATCTGCTCCTGGCTCATGCTGAGGATCTGCCGGCCATTGGGATTATTACTGGGAGCCTGTATCGATTGAGGAGCACATGTTTTGTACGGTGCGTACAAACGTCAGAAAAGGATTCGTACAAACAAAATACATTTACACCCAAACAAAAAAAAAATTGATTCGAATCACATTCTAGCCAATTCAATTCATTTCGAAATCTGAACTAGAACCAAATTGCTGGAAAAAGGACCATTCCAAACGGGTAGAGAAACTAACCACCCACACATAAATATCAATGGTGCCGGTACAACTCTTGGCTGTTCCATATTTATGTCAAATATGAGGCAGCGAGGGAGTGAGAAATAAAGATACAAGTTGCCAGATGAAGTCTTATCACAATGTTTCAGATTTTCGACAGCTTCAAGTCATTTGAAGCTACAATAACATTTCATCCTAAAGCCAGCACAAATGGAAATATGTATATCGTTGACTATGTCTTCTGTCTTCCACTCTCTATTCATCATCCTTCGAATAGCTCTTGCAGCATCATTTCCAACTCCTGGGGACTGATTTTTGGGTGGGTAACTTTGTTATCCTCTATGTATTCTATATAGCCTGGGATGATTTTGTCCGTGATAACTTCGCGCAGCCTTCTCCTGAGCTCAGGATCCGGGACCTTCCACTCCTTTTGGCTGGTGTAGATTTTCTGAAATTCGGACTCAAACTTGTACAGCGAGGAACTGTTTTTCCCCAAGCAATGAGACGTAGGATTCAACAAGCATGTAAGTAGCAGTGCCCATGATACTTGTAGATATCTCTCCATATAGCCCTTGATTTTGTGACTGATGTCGTCAGCCAGCAACACGATGGGTTCTGGGAGATAATAGTGGGAATGAAATCTCTGTTGGATGTGGTATGAGTTGTTGAGCAAGAATAAGAATCTGAGACCTTGATCTGGAAATGGTTCTGATACGTTGGCAATCTTTTCTTGTAGAAAAGACACCATCTCCATGATCATGCTGTCCAAAGGTGGTTCAATTTCAATATGAGGCACATACTTAGCACGTATAACGGCATCCACTGACGGGTAATTAGACAACAGGAACCTGATGTATGTCATTACGGACCGAGTGATCTTGTGAATGTCTGATGATCCTTGTGGATTTAGAGAACTCGACGAGTCATCACCAACCCCCGCCAACATCACCCTAATCTTCTCCATTGTGCTCCTTATCGCCTTGCCCACCTTGCTCTTATATGCTGAGAAGAGGATGGCCATGTCGTTATCTATCCTTTGTGCTTCCACGGAGGTTGGCGAATCAAACATCGTTAGGATCTTGTCGGAGGCTTCAGACAGAGCATCGTGTACAGCCAGCTGGTTATAGAGCTTAGCATATGGTGGCAGCATAATCGGATCCATAGAAAGAAATTCTCCTATCCTATCTGGATCCCAAGCAACTACAACTACACCGTCAACAAAAGTAAGGATTTTCTAAGGTTTCTTGGATAAACCTTATTGATGTTGAGCCAATGTAAGTTGATTTGCGCGTTCTGGGCAAGAACTGACGAGTGAAGAGGGGACGGAATATCTTGTTGCAGGTCAAGAAAGCGGAGGTTTTCCTAGCACGCTTTGGCTGCCATTCCCGGGGATTTTTGCAAGACGCGTTATTATTTTTCTTTCTCTGGAACACGACGCGTTATGGTTGTACGGTTGTACTACTTGGTAGGAACGTTACTCTGATATAGGAAGTTGCTGAGAAACTCCAATTAACTATACTGGTTATCCATTGGACCACTCGATTTAGCACAATTAATCTAATAATCTCTAGACACCCATCATTATGTTATCCACAACGAGCAATATGATAATATGCTGGTCGGTAGACGATTTACCAACAAGATTTGGCTACTGCTTCATTCCAAATTATAAGATGTTTTAGATTTTTTTTATATATAACCTTTTATATGCACTTTTTTTTAAAGATCCGGTTACCGGACATTATATTAATATAAGCAAGATAGAGAGTTGTAATCTTACATGCGTGAGAGGCGCTATCTCATACAGCAGACTGCCATATGAGATACCCAGAATAATCAATGCTAAATACTCACAGAATTTGGAGCAATCCTTAGGTAACTAAGTACCCTTCCCCCAGAGACCCAATCCGAACATCCATCCTTAATCCTTGTGAACACCGCCTGCTCCAGGCTCCTAATACCATTGAAAACTCTAGCATTTCTCTCCTTCCAGATGTGCCCTAAAGTCAGGATAGCTATTGAGTGTGCCACCTTGGTGCCCCCGGCAGTCATCGCTATGAACCACTCCTCCATATCGCTCTGCTCGGTCCAACAAGAAGGACGAAGGTTTGCACAGTTGCTCCACGATGCAACCAGGCACCACTTCTCCGCTTATTGGTTTCAGTCAAGCTTATTCAATCAGCTAACAGTGTTTTCCTCTCACAAAAACCAGCACCAGTCAGCTCAAACCAGCACCAGCACTAACCAGTCTCTAGGTTTCTTTTGCATAGTGCGCAAAAGTAATTGTTCTTCCATCCTCTTATTTGTAGTCTGGCTGCTGTTCAAACTCGGTCCTGTAGGAGCAGCCACAGGAAGAATTTGCAACGTGGGGTGGCCCAAGCCTTCAGATAAGTTTTGGAAAGTTGGAGATGATCTGTCCACTGAATTGGATTGTGTATGTCGAGTTCGCTGAATATTCCCCAGAGCTTTTCAGATTTCTATGCACTTAAAATGCACTATGTCTAGGTACTTAATAAATTTTTTTAGAAAAACCAAACCATCTTACTCCCTCCGTTCTAAATTGCAAGTCGTTTTAACTTTTTTGGTACATATCTAGATACATAGCAAAATCGATATATAAAAAAATCAAAACGACTTATAGTTTATAACAGAGTGAGTATAATTTAGAAAGGATGAAGAATTATTCTATCATCTCTTGCTCCCGCACGGGATATAATCTGGGGGTGCTTAAATTCAGGGACTAAAGTTTAGACATGTCACATGGGGGTGTCACATCGAATGTTCGGATAGTAATAACAAAACAAATTACATAAGTCCTCAATAATCCGCGAGACGAATTTATTAAGCCTAATTAACTCGTCATTAGCACATGTACTGTAGCACCACATTGTCAAATCATGGACTAATTAGGCCTAAAAAATCCATCTCGCAAATTAGTCTCAATCTGTGCATTTAGTTTCGTAATTAGTCTATATTTAATACTTTATGCATGTGTTAAACATCCGATGTGACATGGACTAAAGTTTAGGAGAGGGAAACAAACACAGCCTCAGTAGACAAAATTATTAGATGTTAGTACTACCCGTGACTAATAAAAATACTTATAATTTGCATGTTTTGTTTCTCTTTGTTAATTTTCTAGCACATTTGGTATAATAGATGCTATGTAGTCACACTTAGGAAACAAAATATTAGACATGTACATGTGTTGTATTCACATTGATCATGTAACTATAATACAAGCCATTATCGGCCTGTATACATATGAAAGGTCACCTAACCCAAAGGGTACGAGGTGTTCCTCCAATTCATTACTGTAGCCACACTGCAGCAGCTGGAAACACTGTAGCAGCTGTTTTTTTTTAAGAGAAAAACACTGCTCCGACTGAAAAAAAAAAGAGCAGTTAGCCGGCCAGGAAAAAAAGGGCAGTCAGCCAGCCAAATCTGGCCAGCCGAACACATTGTTAATTAATTAGAGCAATCACCCTAGTTTAGACTTTGCTGCCTGTATCAATTTAATTAGTGTCCAGCCATTAATGATTCCCTCTTCTTCTTTTTTGTGGAAAAGAGAATACCTCCGCTTTTCAAAAGCAAGTGAAAACAGAGTTGCAACATGAATTTAGAAAAAAATGAATGCTTGTGATAAATCTAGCGTGCACATTATATATCATACGAAGGTTCAGCGAGTCCCCTAGGTTGAGACGTTGAGTTGGCTAGCGCAAGGTTATTAGTGTTGAATTGTAAGCTAATTCCCTATATTCGCCTATGAGCTTAAGCTTTTTAGTTAAATTTTTATTTAACCAAGTTTTTAAGTAGAACTAATAGGTGTACTCGTAACTCAATGTGCAGTGGCAGACAAGCCAACGCAGGGATTCGATCAAGGAAAAAAATTTCCATCCTTTCCTACTGCAATAACATAATAACGATGGTTATGGTGATGAAACCTGTAGCTGCAGTGCCTATATATTTGCTCCTGGCTCCTGCAGAGGATCTGCCGGGCATTAGCATTACTGGGGTCTGGGAGCCCCTGTTGATTGAGGAGCAAATGTTTTGTCCAGCATGGCGTCAAAATGGCAGGACTTGATTGAGAAGCGTTTTTTAGTTGCACACGAATTCGTTTTAGATAAATTGACAACCGCAGATAAATATCAGTGGTGCTAGTAAGCCTGCAAGGGAAAAGGTACATACAACTCTCGGCTGTTCCAAGTATATGAGGCAGCGAGGGAGTATGAGGAAGATACAAGTTGCCAGATGAAGTCTAGCTTATTACAATGCTTCAGTTTTTCAACTAAAGCCAACACAAATGGAAATCTACATATGGTGGCTTTTGTTGTGTGTTGCACTCTCTATATTCATCATCCTTCGAATAGCTCTTGCAGCATCGCTTTCAGCTCCTGGGGACTGAATTTTGGGTTGGTAACTTTGTTATCCTCTATGTATTCTGTATAGCCTGGGATGATTTTGTCCGTGATAACTTCGCGCAGCCTTCTCCTGAGCTCAGGATCTGAGACCTTCCAGTGCTTTTGGGTGGTGTACATTTTCTGAAATTCGGACTCGAACTTGGATAGCGGGGAGTAGTTTTTCCCCAAGCAAAGAGGCGTAGTATTGAACAAGAATGACAACAACGGTGCCCATGATACTTGTAGATATCTCTCCATATAGTCCTCGATTTGGTCATTTAGATCGACAGGTAGCCAGGGTCGTTGGAGACGGTAGGAAGATTGGGAGTTCAAGAGGAAGTATGAGTTGTTGAGCAAGAATAAGAATCTGATACCTTGATCTGGAAATGATTCTGATATGTTGGCAAGCTTTTCTAGTAGACAAGACACCATCTCTATGATCATGTTATCCAAAGGTAGTACATTTTCAATATGAGATACACACTTCCCACTTATAGCTGCATCCACTGACGAGTAATTAAACCATAGGAACCTGATATATGTCATTACAGACCGAGTGGCCTTGTGAATGTCTGATGATCCTTGTGGATTTAGAGAAGTTGACGAGGTATCGCCATCCTCTAGCAACTTGGTCCTAATCTTCTCCATTATGCTCCTTATCGCCTCACCCAACTTGCTCTTATATGCCGACAGAAGGATGGCCATTTCATTCTCTATCCTTTGTACTTCCACAGATGTTGGCGAATTAAACATCATTAGTATCTTGTCTGAGGCTTCAGACAGAGCGTCGTACACATCCAGCAAGTTAATGAGCTTACTGTATGGTTGCAGCATAACCAAATCCATTGAAAGAAATTCTTCTGTCGTGTAGGGATCCCAAGCAACTACAGCGTCAACAAAAGCCAACATTTTCAACATGGTTTCTTGGATGAACCGCGCCAAATGGTATTGATTTGGAACAATTTTTCCTTGTTCCTCACAAATACCGGGCAGGCCCACGGAGCCACAATCCGGAAAGTGCGGCCTCATGAAACAGATGGTTTGCGCGATTTGGTCGAGAGCCCGGATCCAGGTCCATGCATAATCACGATCGAGTTCCTCTTCCTCCCACGCAGATGCACCATCGTCGTGGCTGAGAACCCAGCCGAGGCCCAGCTCCTTGAGCCATCTCTCCACTACTGCACTCATGTCACCGCGTTTGGTGCTGCAATTCGCCGACGGCGCACTGAATAATTCCTGGACCAGGATTCTAATGCGGTCCATGCGCTCCTCCCCCGTTTCTTCCTCAGCTTCTTCCCAGTCATCTACGTTGTGGCCGTTGACGTCCCCGTGGATCCTCAAGGAGTCAAAGTGCATGGCCGCCTCCATTGAGAAACTGGAGGGGCGAGAGCCGCTAGATGCGTAGCCAGGAGAGAGTCTGGAGACTATGGTACCTGAGGAACTGCTAACCTTGGATCCAACAGTCTCCTGGAGGTAGCTCCAAGAAGACCCGAGGCCACCATTCCAACCCTCCATGCCGGCGCCGCAGCAACTGGCGAGAAATATCTGCAGAGAACCAGAGACCAACAACCTCCCGATCGAGGTTGTGTATCTTGTAAGGCCGTGTTTAGCCGCCCCGAACCAGAGAACCAGTGACGTTTTGTTTTTGTTTGATAATAATTGTTCAATCGTTGACTAATTAGGTTCAAAACGTTCGTCTCGTAAAATACAACCAAACTGTGTAATTAGTTTTTGATTTCGTCAATATTTAGTACTTCATACATGTACCGCAAGTTTGATGTGACGGAAAATCTTCTTTTTGTATAGTGTCAAAGTTGGGAATTTGATGAAACTAAACCTGGCCTAAGTTGATTTGAGCTTTCTGGGCAAGAACTGGGAAAATCTGGACTTTGTGCAGGGCAGGCAACACAGAATCTCAGTATATAGTATTTTTTTTTTTGAAACTAACAATGTCCCGTTCGGCTTACCTTAAAGCCAGTTTGTTTGGCTTGTTTTTTTAGTTGAAATAATAGTTTTCTCTCACAGCAATTCAGTCGGAACAGTGTTTTTCAGCGGGTCAAGCCGAACGGAGAGTATTGATAAGGTGGAGGTTTTCCTAACACGCTTTGCCTGCCATTCCCGTTATTACGGCCGTTGGATTTGATGGGAAGTTGCTGGGAAACTCCAGTTAACTACACTACACTAAACAAGTGGTTATTCATTGGCCTCACTCGATTTAATATAATTAATTAATCCAATCATCCCTGGACCCGCATCATGTGTGTTAACCACCACATGTAGTATAATAAGAGCATCTTTCCAAAACCCACTTCCAATCCAGATTATTTTGGCAAGATTGAAAAAAACTACTCCCTCCATCTCAAATTATAAGACATTCCAACTTCCTTTGATAGTCGAAGCATCTAAGTTTTGAAATTTTTTTTGGAATGATTTATAGTTATGTCACATGTTGAACAAGCGATAAGTCTTAAATGATTCTTCAGCGACGCTTTCAGGAAGGAGGTGACGCCCAAGAGTAGTCCAGTGGACGCCATCGCCACTGGCCTTACAACCTGTAAGGCAGGACTTTCACCTAGAATCTGGCGTCGTCGGCGAGATGCATGTGGCCCATCAATGATGTCTCCAAGAAGGTATGTGGCGCCCAAGGCATCACCGTCGTCCTCCCGATCAAAATCAGACTGTGCTTTCGCCCACAACACCACGCATTCAAAAGCATTTCCAACGGTGGCCACCGCCCCGATGAAGAGGCCGGAACCGGCGCAGGCGCAACATCTACCCCCAACGAAGCGAGGCAGAGGTAGGGATGAAAACGGTACGGAAATATCCCGTACCGAACCACATCGTTTTCTACATTTAATCCGATCGAATTCGTATATTCGGACAAATTCGAATTCAGTTCGAAATTCGGAACACAAAATTCAAAATTGGAACGAAAACGGTTTAATCATTTTCCCTACCGTTTTCTACTTTTCTACTTTTAATTCGGAATATCCCGAATTCAAAATTCGGTTTCAAAATTTGGTTTAAACCAAATTTGGCCCATTAGAAGTCCAGCCTTAAAAAAATTGTATCTTTTTCATACGATCTTGGATGAAGATAAGTTTTATATGAAAAATGTAGCTTTCGACGAGATCTACAACTTTCTAGTTTTTAGTTTTTTTCATTTGAGGTCTTTAAGATGTTCAAAAAAAAATAAACAATGTTTCAGTTGTATATTAATCGCATGAAACGCTTGTTGCCTTAAAAAAAATCATATCCTCCTTACATGATGTTGAATGGAGATATTTTTAATAAAGTTGTAGGACTTATTAATTGTTATTTTTACTTGTTAATTGTTATGCATTTGATCCCATGGGTCGATATTCCGTATTGATTTTTCGTATACCGGCCGTGTTTGACATAATTTCATTTGAATTAGTTCGTTTTTGAAATTCTCAATATCCCGTAAGTTCGTGTTCATTTTCGTGTACAGATTTATCGCTTTTTCCTATTCGAATGTAGAAATAGAAAACGCTCGAGAGGTTTTCCGACCGTTTGGCAGAGGCCAGCACCAGCACCGCAGAAAGCTGGATGGCCGGCCGCATTACCAATCGCACTACCGATGGCAGACAAGGATTATATTTATTTATTTCAGCGACGACTAGTTTGCCGGCACGTAGCCAAAAGTAGAGCGTTTAATTAACGGACCCGAACCGCTCAGCTGCTGCTTGCAGGGGACGGCACCTGCTCGCCCGAGCGCGCCTAGCCGTCGCTTGATTTGATTTCACTCCGCGGCCGCGTCGCGTGCCGGTGCGGTTGGTTCTTTCTTCTCTTCTGTTCGCCCCGCCGAGTAGAAGAGAAGAAGTTCGTGTTCTTTAGTGCCGTGCCGTGTCACTGGGCACGGCGGCCCAACAGTACCGCCGCTTGCTGGGGCTGCGCCGTCGTGTCACGCGCATCCGCTCGCGCGCTGGAGCCACGTTGAGCCCGCATCCTCCCCGCCGGATCCGCCGGCGTGCTCGTGCTCGCTGGATCCACCGCCAGCAGACTCCTCCGCGCCGGATCCGCCGCCAGCAGACTTCTCTGCGCCAGATCCGCCACTAGCAGACTGCTCCTCGCCGGATCCGCCACCGGAGAGCTCCTCCCCGCCGGATCCGCCGGCGGCGGGCTCGTGCTTGCCGGATCCGCCATCGGAGAGCTCCGCCCCGCTGGATCCGCCACTGGAGAGCTCGTGCTTGTCGGATCAGCCAGCAGACTCCTTCTCGCTGGATCCGCCACCGGAGAGCTCCTACTCGCCGGATCCGCCATCGGAGAGCTCCTCCCCACCGGATCCTCCACCAGCAGACTCCACCTCATCGGATCCGCGCCAGGAGATGGATAGAGAGAGGCACCGCCTTGCTTGCCGGAAGTGGAGAGGGAGAGGGAGGGTCCACGTCGCACGGGGAAGAGATGGAGCGCCGCATGGATGTGGAGTGGCTGGGGAAGAAGAGGACAGAGGGGGCGAGTGACCGGAAGCGAACGGACGGGAGGCGAGCGAAGCGAGACGGGAGACGAGCGACTGGAAGCGGACGGCGAAGCTAGGGTTAGGATTGCCTATTTATACGCTGCATCCAACGGTTGTAATACATCAGAGGTCATCCAACGATGAAATTACCGGGCCGCATCGTGCGGCCCAAATTCCGTCTTGCCGTGCCGTCTGCAAGACGCTGGGCCAAAAGTCGCGGCCCGAGCACGCGGCACTCTGACCGGGCCGTGCACGCACGGCACGATGGCCACCGGGCGGGCCGTGCTCGGGCCGTGCTTTTCGATCTTGCCGTGCTAGTGCCGGCCCAGTGAACCTAGCCCATTTGGAAAACTATCGCTTTCATTGCTTGCGCTTGCGAGGGACGGCACTGCCGCTTTCGAGCGCGCCTAGCCGTCGCTTGATTTGATTTGACTCCGCGGCCGCGTCGCGTGCCGGTGCGGCTGGTTCTTTCTTCTCTTCTGTTCGCCCCGCCGAGTAGTCAAGTTTGATTCCAACTCCATCGTGTCGGAGGGATACGTTTGCAGATACTACCATAAAAGAAGTGAAATTTTCGTATTTTGGTCTCTTTTGAAAACAATTTTTAGAAAAATACCAACGCCAAAACATTTTCTGAAAATAGACCCTTTTTAAGCGTCTTAGCACATGACGCCGAGATATGAGGCTCGGCGTCGTGTCACTCGACGCCGAGGTACTGCCACGTCACGGAAGACCGGGGTCGTCGTCGACACGTTGGCGTGTGGGTCCGAGACGTCGGCGTCGTGTCAGCCGTCGCCAAGTACCCAACCTCGGCGCGTTCAGACCGAGCGCCGAGCTCTGGCCCCATCCGGAGCGCGGCCCAGGCGGCCCAACAAAGCACGGTGGCCCAGCAGCTCGGCGTTGGGTCACTTAACGCCGAGCCTCCAGACCTCGGCGTGACCCGACTCAACGTCGAGGTCTGGACCCTTTAGGCCGCGCCGAGGCCCCTTCTTCTTCCTCCCTTCATTCTGAAACCGCCGGCCTCCATCTCTTTCTCTTCTCCCCCGCGCTGCCAGCAAACCCTAACCCCCAAAATCGACCCCCGGTGCCACGATCTCGGCTCCCGAAGCTTCCTCGAGGTAATGGTCCCTCCCCTCCTCCATTCTATCCGCGTAGATGTGCTTACATTGTCCCTAATCATTTAGAATCATGGTTGTTTGGTGATTTGGTATATTTGTGTTTGCATTTGCAAAATGTATGGCTAAGGATGATTGAGTGCATTGTTGTTTAACTGTTTTATGTGACGAACATGTTAGGTTAGTTTGGTTTCTAGTTATTTTGGTCATTAGGGTTATTTGTTTATTGTAGGTGTCATTAGGGTTAGTTATTTGTTGGTCATTAGGGTTACTATGTATTTTATTTATTTGTTGGTCATTACATTTCAATTTGTTATGACTAGAAATGATTATGTTGTTGGGGTTGAAAAATGATGAAATGATATATTTTAGTTTCTACTTATTGGATTGAAATATATTCATATGTTACACTACTTGTTGTGTGATGGCTGTAGATGGATAAATTAGTGAGGTTGCATCATGGAGGCCGTATTGTTAGGACAAGAGATGATAGTTTGGAATTTCTGGACATGTGTGAGGAGTTGTTGATTTTTTCTGAAACACCATCTTTGACCCAGTTAGTGGAGCGAGTGAAGGTTAAGTTAAATTTGGAATGAAGGAGACGTGCATGTTCGGTTTGAAGGTGTCATAGATGTTGGGTCGTCGAAGGGTCCTCGGATCAAGCGGTTGCTCAAAATTACAAACGAGTCTGAATGGAATGATTACAAAGGCGGTTGTATTGGCCTCGAAGTGCGATCTTTGGATTTAGTAGTAGTAAGGAGTCCGGCTTAGGAAATGACAACTTGAAGCATGGCCATCTTCCCCGCTCACATAGGTTATGGTCCTTTGCACGAAGAAGAAATACTTGTCACACAACTAGGCTACGTTGGAGATGAGGAAGAGAATCCGGTTGCCGATGGTGAGGGCAATCATGATAGTGATGA